TCTATCAATGTAGGAGATGATATGTTCTTCTTATTTGTAGAAAGAGCTGAGCTTGGACATGTAAGACCAAAAGCCCTCCCAGGTATTAGTACATAGCATCCCAGATCCTAGCAAGGGCCTGTGGAAAAGGGGAAGGAGGCACACAAGCCCAGGTGGGGGAGAACTGGGCTGTGGGAGATGCAGTGACTGTGTAGATGGAAGGACTGAAGAGGGGTCTGGCTTAGGCAGGAGGAGGAGAAGGCCGAGAGTGCTGGTGCAGAGGTGCCAGGACTTAGAGGGGATCCGAGCTCCTGAAATGCCACCGAAGGCAGTTCACGGATGACATAGCTGTGTTTCTGTGCACGAAGGCATCCATCCCTCCACACCATCCTGCAATCTCCTTTCTATTTGTTTTATTTCAACTCAAAGATAAAATTATTAGAAATCTCCTGAGGCAAAACCAGGCAATATTCTTTATCTGCACTTTCACTGGGGGAGGAAAAATTTTCCCCTCTATCTCTAAATCAATGCCAAAGACAGCCTAAGATTGAGTGACATTTTCTCGATGTATGACTTCTAAAAAGTTTGTCCAACATTCTCTAAACCTTCTGTATTGATAGACAAAATAGATTCACTGGGTGAATTGGTACTATATTTGCTGACATTGGTCTTTTAGGCCCTTAGTACATGAGGAAGTAAAAGCTAAATAAGTAGATGACCAAAGGCCCACTGAAGTCTTTTGGTTAAGATTCAGCCCCTTAGTCCACCTATTAAAACACTGCCTCTAACTGCAAGTCCTGAAAAAAGAGAATTAACCCAAGACAGCTAAGTTAGGTCATGAACTCTCTTGAACTATTCATGCTATATTTGTCTGTCATCATGTCACTAAAGCATGCATGGAAGTTTTGTAGGTTTGTAGCAATGCTATACTCTTCATGTAGAATAAAATTTCCATTAGCCAATAGACCAATACATATTTATTAATTTCTAGGCTTATATTACACTTTGATAAAGTTGTGGTAAGAATTCACAATGCAAAAACCTGATGGAAACTCTTAGGAATATTGCTTTATCTATCTTGTAAATATGCATGTATGTTTTTTGAAAATAGCAGTTAATGGCAGAATCCTCACTGTGACTAGCTCCATATGCTGACACCTGTGAATTAAGCAACTACTCTGAGGACAGCAATTCATAATACCAAAACCATGCTTGAAATACCTGTCATCTTTGTCTTCTATTTTTTTTTAATAAAAAAATTGTATTTACTTAGAAGCATTCAGAAAGTCCACAAAACAGTTGCAACTCTTTTGCAATTACAGAGTGGTATTCAGTTAACAGAACAACAAGTATTTCGTATGAGCTGCATCAGAGACAACTGAAGATGAAAAACTACCGTCTCCTGTATAACTAATTTGTGCTGTGCACCAACAAGAACCTGCTTTACATTCCCATGCCAATTTACAACCCCCAGACTGTACCAGGCGAGGTTAGTGGCTACTGAAAATACCACCAGGACAGGGCTATCTAAAGACACATTCGGTAGTATGTTAACTGTACAAAAAAAAAAAGACACTGTACAGTTTAAAAACAAATCTTACACAGCCTTACATTTCAGGTTTTTTTTTCTTCAAAAGGAGTGAGTTGTGTATAGGGGGGTTAAATGCTTTATAGACAAGAAAAAAAAACTGCGCTAGAACCAACTTATTCATCATCATCCTCTTCTTCATCCTCCTCATCCTCTTCTTCATCTTCTGCCTCCTCTTCATCCTCATCTTCCTCCTCCTCCTCCTCTTCCTTCTTTTTCTTGCTTTTTTCAGCCTTGACAACTCCCTTTTTTGCTGTGTCAGGTTTTCCTTTAGCCCGGTAGGCAGCGAGGTCCTTTGCATACTTCTCCTTCAGCTTAGCAGCCTTCTTCTCATATGGCTGCTTGTCGTCTGCTGCAGTATTAGTCCACATTTCTCCAGCTTTCTTTGCGACATCACCAACGGAGAGGCCAGGAGGTTCTCCTTTGATTTTTGGGCGATACTCAGAACAGAACAAGAAGAAGACTGAAGGAGCCCTCTTGGGCTGTTGGGATCCTGGAACTTCTTTTCTGTTTCTCCTTTAGGAGGAATTTAAGTTTTCATTTCTCTTTCATAACGAGCCTTGTCTGCCTTTGCCATATCTTCAAATTTTCCATTTTCTTTAGCAGACATGGTCTTCCACCTCTCTGAGCACTTCTTAGAAAACTCTGAGAAGTTAACGGAAGCATCTGGGTGCTTCTTCTTGTGCTCCTCTCGGCAAGTTTGCACAAAGAATGCATAGGATGACCTCTTGCCTCTCGGCTTCTTAGGATCTCCTTTGCCCATGT